GATTTAGGTTAGATATTAGGAAGAAATTTTTCACAGTAAGGGTGGCCAGGATCTGGAATGGGCTTCCAAGAGAGGTGGTGCTATCACCTAACTTGGAGGTCTTCAAGAGGAGGCTAGATAGTCACCTGGCTGGGGTCATCTGACCTTGGTCCTCTTTCCTGCCAGGGGGTCGGACATGATGATCCATTGTGGTCCCTTCCGACTCTACAATCTATAATACATGCTATATCAGTGTGCATTTATTTCTGATGAAGAGATTTGTGAAAATTTGTATGCAAATTGTGACCAGTTACAAATGCCTGGAAAACTGCCAAAACAGTCATTGGTGTCTCAAAGTTTAGACACCATTGATGAAGAAAAAGAGCCAAATCCTGCCATAGCAGGAGTCTTGCCATGGACTTCAATGCGAGCAGGATTTAGCTCGATATCCAAAAGATACAAAAAAGAAAAAACAAGTTCCCCGGTTAGAAAAACAAGGATGTTATTGCAATATTAAGATGAACTAGAATCAGCTAACAATCATAAGAAAATATTGACACTGTCTAGATAGATGTTCAGAGCAGAAAACAGTTGGGGGAAAGATTTTAGAATTCAAGAGTTACCAAATTCCTGGGCTGGATGTTGTTGATCAGATGGTGTCTCAGTTGATTTCCCCATTTGTCCCAGTTCAGAATTGGTCTGTCTGCATTCGTCACTGGGTTACAGATATACCAGCAGTCTACATACATTTCTCCATTGCAGTTGGGGATGTCTTAGATCTGGTCAGTCTTCTTCTTGTGCTAGACAAAGGCTTCTGTGTTTGGATCCAAACTTTGGATCTCATAGGGTGTCTTTATATGTGCTCCAGGGTGCAGGGGGGGAGGGTGTTTTAATTAGAGTGCCTCTCAGGAGCCGCTCTAATTAAAACACCTGCAGCACCTTATGTATTCAATGTCCTATGCTTCAGAATAGTGGGGGGGGGGGGCAGCTGCCATCTTGAAACGCGGGGATGCTGAATACATGATGCCAAGGCTGCTGCAGTGTTATAATTAGAACGCTCCAGCAGACTTGATTAATTGAATCTGCTGCAATACATTCCAGTTAGACTGCATCAGAGCAGGTGTCGGGCATGTGTATAGGTGCCTATGGGTTCCTCAGGCCATTGAGCAGGATACAGGCAGTCTCTTCACCTTTAGGATCCCTGCTGAATGTGCATGCTGCCTCATTCCCCTTCTCAGAAGTGGGGCTCTGCAGTTGCCTCAAGGGCAGTCCAAAACCTGGCCCAACTGCTAAGGCCCCTGGCAGACATTCAGTTCAAGGTGAGATAGGATTTGATCCACAAACCCAACAACTATGTCTTCTGCCATGCTACACATGTATGGCAGGAGACAACTGTGGGATTGGGGATCAGATCTCAATTGCACCCTATTGCAGGGGGATGATCAAGATCCTGGGCTCCCCCTGCACCGACAAGTAGCAAACTGGGTGTCTGGTGCCCCCAGCTTGGAGCACCAGTCAGTTGATTGGCACTCCGAGCCCTGGGAGTGATTTGGAGTCCCTGACTCTGGTTCTGCTAGCCTTGGGAGTTTACCTATCTACTGATCTCCACTCCCAAGACTGGGAGCCCCAATCAGTTCATTGGCCTGGCCACATGTTCAATTTAAAGAATGATGGGAACTGGCTAAAGTTATTACACATATTTTGTGTAATAACTTTGTGGCTTATTCCCTGTTTTATTGTGCCACTAACTGCATGAATGTGGAGCTGGGTTACTATTTAAGATGTGATTAACTGGTTAATCTCAGTCTCCCCAAGACCTTCATAATATTGTTTCCCAAAGCTCCACCCTTATTCAGGTTTTCAATTTAACCTTTTGGAGACATTTAACTAATATATCAAGGAACCCAGTAACTTTGCATACACACACACACCCCCACACACACACACACACACACACCCCTTTTATTTACTGAGAAAGGAGAGCCTTATATCTCCATGCAAAAGCCTTCCTGCCAGCATCTTCAAGATGCCAAAACCCCACTAGTTTTTTTTTGTCAGACCTGCCAAAGTCCTCAGTTTTCTTCTGTTCTCATTGGGCCTTCAGGTTAATTTTCTTATCCTTGAAACAAACTCTTAACTTATTCATATCTGTCAGTAAAAAGGTTCCCTTTGATTCCAAAAGTATGTCCTACAAGCCCTAAGTGAACAAACCCTAAGAGTCCTATGAGCCTTTAATGAGCCCTAAGTCCAAGTTCCAAGAACAGTTACAGAATCTTGTTTCCTTCCTCCTCCTTTGTTGCTGGGAACTCCCACAGCTCAATCCATGAAAACAGGCTGGGGAGAACCACCATTTTTTCTCAGCTTGGTCCATCTTTTTAGTATATTAATTTGATTGCCAAGGCAAAGTCATTTTATGTTATAGACATCTTTGATTTTTCCTCTAGCTGCTATCAGACTGCAGTCATGATGCACAACATGCTTCCTGTCAGCAAGCAGCTGATTCAAGCTATGCTGAAAGTTAGAGTTATGTATAACGTTCATAAAAATCAATGAGAAATGCATAAATTTGGCATAGATTTCCCAAACAGTCATGAACACGAAGAGAACTTTAGCTGTGGAAATCATTCTGCTAGCTGAAAAGCCATAGAAGACACTCTAAAAGCGGAACGTGGCAGTTCTACTGTATGCAGGGGAAGATAGCTCAAATCAAATATATAAAAAACCCTTTTGCTCCTACTTTGTCATACCACCCTTCATTTAATTCTTATTGGGCTTTTGTCATACCACCCTTCATTTAATTCTTATTAGTCTTTTGGTTGATTTTAATCTGTCTTCAAGTCATGTTTTCTTAACATGTAACTATCTGTAAGTGCTGAAAATCTGACATTATGGCCCTATTTTTTGTGGAAAAGGTGTAGCTGAAAGGTCACCAAACATCTTTCTGTTTCAGTTTTTGAGAAATGTAAGGAAACGTACTCACCAACATCTCATCTGGCTAGAGTAAGCCCTCTTCTCTCATCCTGTTGACAATAGCGACTCTTCTGGCAGCAGCTACAGGAAGGAGAGAGACAAATAATGGTAAAAGGCTGCGTATTTAATTTGACCACCATCCGCACATTTGTGTAATGCAGAGTCATACAGAAACAATCAAAGAGTGAGATGGATATAAGAGGGCATCTGCCAGACTCCTTTGCATTTAAAGCCACCTCTATTTCCTCCATTTCATCTGTAATTTTCAGAACAGATATTGCAAAAAAATCCTCATCCAGAAGGTAGCCTTTGCTGTGTGGCATTTGTAAGTGCTTTATACTGGATATTTGCCTCTGGAGTTGTGGTCTACCCTGCAGTGATTAAAGGTGTTATGAAAAAAGGCCAATTTGTGCCTCTGCAGATCTTGAGGGTATTTATTCTTGTCCATCTGTATTCATGAAACAGGCTTGTGGATGAGTATACTTTTACTGGTTGGGATGATATCTTATTGCTAGTAAATCACATTATTAAAAAGAGCCATTGATGAAGACCTTAGAAGTTAACTGTCCTTTTTTCAGCTGGGTAAGCATACCAGCAGTCTTCAAAAGAAAGACAGTTTGCAGGGATCATTTCTGCCTGAAAATGTGTACAATGTTAAATACATACAAAACCATAGCCCTGCCACTGAATGCTTGTAGCAGGAACTCCACTTACTGCCTTACAACCTGTATGGTGAGAAAATTGCCATCCCATTCTCTATTTCTCGTTGTCCCAATTCCCTCCATCAGCACCCTTACCTTAGGTCTCTTCTCATACCAGTCTCCATCTTCTCCCAGTTTCCAACTCCATGCATCTCCTGCCTGCTTCTCACTTCCTGCTACTCTCCCCTTCCTACCTCTCAATATTCCCTTCCTTGTCCTTCAGACTCCTGAATCCTACATGCCCGTTCCCTCGGTCAGTTACTCTGCATTCTTGTCCTTACCCACTCCCTAGTTCCCTTTCTCCTGCCTAGGACGCAACAGCTACACTAGGGGTATCCTGAAAACAATGCAAGTCAGTGACTATCTTTACTATCATAAGGGAGAAAAGCAGCATCCAGGATGAAGTCGATCTATTCTTTCAGTTCTGTGGGGACAATAAGGACAGACATTTTCTGTGAGAACAATCCTTTAGTAAGGCAAGAAGGTTCTCAATTTTCTTTTGATATCTTGAGGAGCTACTAAGAAACCCAAATTCCTCTAATCACAAGAAAACATTGGCAAGCATTGCTTGCTCTTGGCTTTTTTCTTCACTGACGTCTTCAGGTTTAATCCCTCTTAGCTTTGTCCTGTTGTCTGTTTTCTTTCAGTAAAAAACAAAGCAAAAAAATAGTTGAGAATCAGAAGGTTGCTCCTTGCTTCTAGGATAAGAGGCAAAGAATCTGCAGGAGTGAGCTTCTAATATCCCCTTGGGCCTTCACTGTTATTTATGGTCTGAAAACTGTTCTGGGAGAAAAGGAATGAGATCTCCAAAATCAAAGTCTGCAGAATAGCTATTGAGGCAAACTATTTTAACCTCTCATGTTAGTCCTCTTAATTTCCTACCCATATTGAACTAAACATGATTTAGAGCAGAGAAGGATGCAGAATAGCCTGGTTTAAATTCTATCATGTCCTTGGTTGGATAAATTAGTTCTGAAAATAATTCATGATTCCCCAGCATACCTTTTCTTTATTTCTTCCCTAAAAGCCACAGTCAGTTCAATTACAAAAAGCATCAGCAGCATATAAGCAAGTCATTGCTTTACATAAGATTTTGCCAGAATTGTTTAAGCAAACACCTTGACATTTTTAAACATAAGTAGAAAAAGGATGCAGCATTTTTCAGTATAATGAATTTGGCACTTAGCTGCAAAGCCTTCAGTTCACCTCTCATGATCACTTCTTTTACTCTATTCATTCACTTTTTACATGGGAGACACAATTGAAATTTTGTGATAGGATATGAACTTGACGCATTCATTTATTTGTAACTGTTAAAATCCTTTGAACGATTTTATTCCCTGTTCCTAGCTCCTGAAAGCCTGATGCAAGCTTTGGAAGATCTAGATTATTTGGCAGCCCTAGATAACTATGGAAACCTTTCTGAAATTGGAATAATTATGTCAGAATTTCCTCTGGACCCACAGCTGTCAAAGTCGATTTTAGCTTCCTATGAATTCAACTGTGTAGACGAAATGCTCACTATTGCTGCCATGGTAACAGGTATTTTACTACATGGCACTTGTGCCTACTGTTCAGGTCCTATACGGGCTTACTTTAAGATCCAGAATTATTGTGCAAGAAAAAATATTCCAATTAAACTATTTAGAGGCTATTTAAATTTTGTCTACTCAAAATAAATACACTCAGAGTTGTAGCAATCTTGCCTTTGAGCATGCAGGGAAACTCAGTTTTGTATGAATTTCAGTGAACTAATGAATAGCACTGCCCTGTGCTCCAATTCTGTGCTCCAAAAACTCCATTAATTTCTAACCTTTGCTCAGACAGAGCAAAATGTCTCTTCAAAATGAGCTTTGGTATTTCATTATACACTCCTTTATTTATCTGAAACCAGCAGAGCAAATTAGGGAGATATTCTTGTGGAAAAAAAATAATCTCAAGACTATTGATGAACATGGAATACTTTTGTCAGATCATTTTATCACTTTGAGGAAAACTGAACTTTGTAGAAAAATAAATTTTGATGCTCATTACATGTTATTCTAATTAACTAACATATTCCTATATTAATGAACTAACCCCTAACTTTGAACACGTAAGACCTAGAAACATACCAAAGGGTTATTAACCATAGAATTTGCTTTCATTGCTGTATTGGCAAGGCCTAATAGCAAATATTGAAAGCATAATAGAAGATGCCTCTATTCTGTTAATGTTCACTTACAGGAGTGTTTCTGGGATATATGAGCAATTTTGGTGGTTTTTACTGGTATAATTTTTCAAACTGTGTATTACTTGTAATATTAATTTTTTTAAATGTGAGGGTTTGAACATGCCCACTTTGTATGCTTTCTTAAAGAGTAATGACAGCCCCCTTCCCCCTCAAAATACCCAATACAGGCCATGAAACCATGATTGTAAGATCCTGGGAAAACCCCAGCTGGCCTGAACTGAGACGGGGAGTAGACTGTGATCGCATATAAGCCTGTGAACCAAGACGAATCTGTTCTAACCTGGGAACTTCTACACTGATTCCTATCCAGGGCAATTTATTTGTGGGCAAGCGGCTGGATACAGCTGCTCTAAGACAGTTGCATGCAGGCTTTTGCCTCGCTTCCAGTCTTGAGGCAGTTTTACTCATGTAGCCATGGCCTTAGTAGCACAGTAACATAGGAGAAATAAGCTTCCCTGGATAACACCAAACCCTGATTCAGGAGCACATTTAGGCATTTTACTTTATGGATTAGATATTCTTCTTATGCTACAGAGGTAACATGCTTGGTTCTAGCTGGAGGGTGGTGACTGCTTTAAGACGATGGTATCATGCCATTTATAAAACTTCACTAGCTTAATTCTTAGCAGAGGTTGCTCACTCTTTTGGACTTGCATGAACAGCAATTTACATTAACTGAGAGTTCTGTTGCCACAAGTAGGAAGGCATGAAGGAACAACCTTATTGTCTTTACTACACTTTAATTTGCAAGCACTGCAACAGAGATCCAATATTTGATGTCAGAGTACAGGGTGTAAACGAGGGGAAAAAAGTGATATTGATCACAGTACATTGCTTTATGTCATGCATCTAATATTTGAATTCCTGTTGGTCTGATTTTTTTAAAGCTACTAATTGCTTTTCACGCCCCCCACCTGGAACTGAAGAAATTGCTCTTACATGCTGGCGAAAATTCTCGCACCTTGCAGGGGACCACTTTACTCTTATCAATGTCTTCAAGGCCTACAAAGAAACCATTGCAAATTCCACGAGCCAGTGTAAGTTATACAAACCACACTGCAAATTTTACTGCTAAAGTTGGCTTATGCTATTTCCCATTGCTGTTACCGAAGTCAGTATAACACACAGGAAAAAAAATGTTAAGTGTTAACCTACAATAGAGAAAAACAATTTCCTGTAAGCTGTGTGGGTATACATGTACGGGTGCATTTAATGCAGGACAAACTGCCCCAACTTCAGGCACAATTCTGATATTTGCACTGCCACATCATCTTCGTGCTACATGGTGTACAAACACCAAAAACCGCCCCCATGTGAACGATCTCACAGAGTTCTCAGGTATATGGCACAGACAGACAGGATGGAGAAGCAAAGGGAGCAGTGACAATATTGATACTACTGATAGGCAATTGTATGAATGCACCAGTAGCCCAACTTTTATCAGATTTTTTGGAGGCATCATAGCTTAGGATAGCTTTAAGGAGGTATTTGAAGGAAGATGATGATGTAACTGTGGAGACTTACAGGCCTCTGTGGAAGGCAGCTTTCAAAAAAAGGTGTTGTTTGAAAACGTAACCAGTAGTTGATAGCTCTGCCATCACTGGCTGATCCACAACAGAAGCTGACATTTTGATAATGAATGAACAGTCATAAGTGAATTAGGAATAGGCTGTGAAAGCAAAGACAAGCACCTTCTGCTTGATGCAATAGAGAAGACAGTGAAAGAATTAGAGAGAGACAATAGGGACAAAACAATGGACAAGGATAATAATTTTGCAACAGTATTTTCAGAGGCTAATTTTGCAGCAGTATTTTCAGATGATAGATTGCCACTGTGGACAGTAGCAATCTGTATTTCCATAAGAGTTTATTCCATCATCTCAAAGCAGTCCCCAGAGGAGTTGTGCATCTGCTACAAAGATGAGCTATTTACCTATTTTAAAGTTCCTGGTGCCAGAGAAGTAAGTAGTCAATCTTTGTCATCATCATAGATATTTTTTGATATCCTATACCCCAGGCCATGGAGCTTCATGAAAATAAGAAACAAAACTTTGGCTTGACTCAAAATTCCATGGAAAACCAGCGTAGACAAAATCAACGACAAGTTTTGATGTCTAGCCTGTGTTGCAGAAGAGACATGCAACATTCTGTACTAGTATGAGTTTCCTGAATAATGAAGTTCATGCCCAGGTACATTCACTGGCATAGTAACGAACAACAGAGGTCAGGCCATTACCCACTAGGATGGGGTGGCATCTCCCAGGCAGCCAGAGGTAGCAGAAAGTGTTATAGATGCTACTACACAAGTGCTTAATGTTGGCAAGGAATCCAAAAGTACCCTTGAATTATGCACTGAATTGGCCAATTGTGCATGTGTGCTATTAAGCAGAAGGACTGTGTTTCAGGTGGTAACTCAAAGAATGCTTTCTACTCAGCCAGCAGCAGGTTTAGCCTCAGCCTGCTAATTTTCATCTATGCGCTGAACTCATCCAAGCACTAGGCAATCTAATGTGACACCACATCTAATAAGATAGCTAGAGTTGAATGGCACCTACCTGTTGCTGGCACTTGAGTCCATGTCAGCTGACTGGTTCATTTAGTGATGATATGCAGATGTTGAAAATGACCAAGGAGAAAACCAATTCCTTTGGGGACTAGTACTAATCAACGGGAGTATCTCTCCAGGAAGGATTCAAACTGGTTTAGTAGATTTCACTGCCACCTCCTTCAGACAGGGCAGCAATATCTCCTAGTCAGCAGTGCTGAGTGCTACAGAGGTCCAGGAGGATAAGAATGGATGTTTGCACTTTATCCATTAACAGGAGAAGATCAGTGTTACAACAAAAGTTTCAGTTCCTGGTCTGGATTCATATCAGCTAGATCTAGAATTTTTGTTATAATTACAATATGTTGTAATTTTTTCTTCTCCCTTAGACTATGATGTTGAGAAGTGGTGTCGTGATTATTTCCTGAACTGTTCAGCACTGAGGATGGCAGAAGTTATCAGAGCTGAATTAGCAGACATTATAAAGTGCATAGAACTTCCCATTTCAAAACCTGACTTTGGATCAAAAGAAAATATATTAAACATAAAGAAAGCTCTTTTATCTGGATACTTTATGCAAGTAAGGAAAATATTCTGATTTTATCTTAGTCCTAGTGATATGAATACAAGATAGCATAGTACTTAAATAAATGGCTTTTAGAAAACTTGATACCAACTTAGGGAATAGTGTTCCCCCGATTCCTATAAAAGAAAACTGGTATACTTTTCTTCCACTGATTCAAATATTTATTATTTGTACCACATACTTTGTTTTCAAAGTGTCAGCCAAGTCCACTTCTGTTAGGAAGCTGTTCTTGATTAATATATGGGTTTTTTTCTTTTAACAGCCAATCATACCAGAAACATTTGAAAGCCATTCATTTATTAGGCTGTGATAAACACTCCTGTCTAGTGTAGTCCCCTTCCCTGGTATTCACTGGCCACAACAACTCACTAGAAGGAAACTCTGTCCACACACTCTTGCGGATGTCTTGAGGAGGGAGTGCGGGTTTCAGAGACTCTTCACTGCTCAGCACTTCTCATTAGGAGCTACAGTACTGTTTTGTTTCTGAGACAATATTAATTATACTTTCTGTCCTCACGAATCATTTATTAAAAAAGCAGTTTGTTGAACAGTTCTAGATGTACAGTTTTCTAATCTAAACTACATGAGCCATTCTTAGCGTAAGATAGAGATAAACAAGAAAGATGAATGGTTCACACCTCCTGTGAAAGCAATCCTTCCTCTCTGACTACCCTGGTCTATTCATCAGCATAGCATTTGCTAACAAGAGAGGACTCCAGCACTCCCTGTTTAGCTAGGTCAGCAGTTCTCAACCTTTTTAGACTGAAGGCACCCCTCAGAAAATGCCAGCTCTTAGTTTTCACTCATTTTTGACCATGTAAAAAAATAACAGAACAATTCTTCTGTTGCAAAGAATTCTGAACTATTGTAGCCTTTCTGAATATTTTTGACATTATGGATTCTTATTTGAAATCTCTTAATTTATCTTGTAAATCATGTATAGGTTTTTGCACTCCTAACAGTACTAATATCCTTAAAAGGAACTCATGGCACCCTAGATGAGAATCAGGGCTAGGCCAACACCTCCAAACTCACAACAGGCACTCCACTTCCCAAAACAGGTTACTCCACTTACCCACATATATTTTTTTTAGGGCTTTATATTCTTTAAGAGATGAACTTTTGAGAATGCAAAAACCTTTTAGTTATTGATCTTTAAAGACATAACAACCAAGCTTAACAACTAACCAATGTTTCATGGGCTGGTCTGCCCAGCTCTGCCCCAAACAGTTTCTGTATTGGCCTTTCAATTAAAAGATTGGCATTTTCCCCAATAGCTAATTCCCTTTCTTCATGTCAATTCCCTGCCCACCTCACCATGAACAAGCACATTCAATTTCCATGGTTATATACTATGAATTAGGGACAGGGGTCATGGCTCTCTCTCAGAAAGTTGTTGCATACAAATGTAAATATTGGCTTTTAACATACTGCAAAGAAGCAGAACCTGGCCTAAACAGCTTGCATACACAGTGAAACAATGGATTGCTCTTTTATATTTTAGATTGCTCGTGATGTAGATGGCTCGGGAAACTACTTAATGTTAACACACAGGCAAATAGCTCAGCTTCATCCCTTCTCAGCATATTACAACACCAGGCGGATTCCTGAGTGGGTGTTATTCCATGAATTTTGTATATCAGAAAACAATTGTATAAGAGTCGTCTCCGAGATATCACCTGATCTGTAAGTTAAGGGTTGGGGGACTATTTCCTATAACAAAAGTATAAATGAAAAGTATAATTTAAGGTGTAAACAATGTAGCATGCCACACATCCTTATTATGCATTCAACCAAAACTAGTTTCTGGTCTCTCCCAACCAAGAACACATTTTTCCACAACCAGCTCATTAGCAGTGGGGAATAAGCAGTGAGAAAGCTGAGAGGAGCTACCTGGAGAACAAGCCAGCTCCTGATCTCTCCTTCTGGAGGGACCTGAAGGAAGACCTTATGGTTCTGGTGAGGGAGAGAGTCCCAAGCATAACTAATTTACCCCTTAATCGTGTGAAACAGTGGAAAGACTGTCATAAGAGAAAACAAATCATGTATGTAGGGAAGATATTTCATAACCCAACTAGCTCCAGAGCTACTTTGTGAATGGATATTCATCTATGCTGTCATCTTTGCATGAACAATACTAACCAAATTAGAGTTTAAAATTATACTAAAGGGAAGTATTCCATATAAGATTCCAACATTTTAAGTGTTTGATTAAAAAAAAATAAAATAAAAACGCCACAGGAAATTAGCCAGTATTTCCTAAGCTATAGTGCACCTGCTTGTATATTCAATGCATCTCAGAATCTGTTGCAATTGTACTTGATTCAACCATTTAAACAAGTGTGCTTAAATAACTGAACATGCATTTCTCAAAATAGAAAATATATTTTAGTACTAAAGAACAAGAAGCCAAAGAAGCACCATTTCTCTGTTAAAGTAGCCCAACTGAAAAAGTGCTTTTCCCCTGCCAAAGTGGCATTTTCTAGCAAATACTTTTTTTTAAATGTTATATATGCCTACCTAGCCATTTCTTCCCTATAAACAGCTCTCCTTGTACTGACATCTGCTCTGTACTCTGCAAACATATTGCACCAAGAAATCTTTCTTTACTGCTCTTTCCAGTGGTTTTGAAGAATACCCTCCTCTCGGGTTTTTGTTGAACATACTTGTGCTCACATTTAGAAAACCTCTGTAATTAATATTTCATGTCATTTTAGCACTGGGAACTGAACCACAATCGTTACCAGTGCAGACTGAGCATATTAATTTGAAAATCTGCTTACAGCATAAACATGCATATTGGGGACTTTTTAACGAAATTTAAGTACCAACTGAAACTATCAACGTGTTCTTGGCTCCAAGCATTTTTGGTACAACCCTGAAAAATTTTTTAAAAGTTGAAATTTCAAATTTTATGTAAGACATATTTTGTTCTATTTCTCATCAGATTTGTGGAGCTGGCACCTCAATATTATTTTAGCAATCTGCCTCCTAGTGAAAGTAAGGATATTCTGCAGGAAGTAATAAATCATTTATCACCCGTTTCAACAACAAAGGAGGAACAGAAAACAAATGGCAAAGACAAAGAATATGAAAAATATCCACAAACTCCGGCTGAACAAAGATGCATTATTCAATGACTTTGATATCCAACTACATTCAGGCAAACAGTATGTGCAATGTATGCTTGAAAGTTAATCTATGTAACGGTTTCTCAACTTGAAATGTACAAGTATTTAATAGGATAGAGAAAAATTTATACTGAAAAAATCCTAACACTTATAGTTTTGTATGCTGTTTGAAAATATGTAATAAACACTCACTGGAATTGGTTAATAACATTGAGCAATTCTTTTAAGAAGTTTACAGATGTAGGGCTTTTTTATTGCATGCTTCATCGTGACAAAGTCCATTAGGACATGGAGTTTTAAAATATCAAATTAAAATATACAAAGTAAGTGAGGAATACAAAACTGTTGACATCAAAGAACTTTTCTGAAGCTATTCAAAAATCTTATAATTTTGTACACTTGCTATTAAAAATATTGTTCATAGGAAACTGTTTAGACTGAGAGATATTCTTTGAGTTTATCCATGATTGCGTTCATCCTATCAGCTGGAATTAACATAACAGTCCTCAAAGGTTTCATTGGCACATCATCAAAAGACCATCTGCCTCCCAAACACGTGTCGCTCTCTTCTTGCACAGAATAGCTGAACTTCAGATGAGCTTTCTAAACAACAGAAATACATTAAATATGATTACAGTTAGCTTGAAAATTACTATTCATACCATCTGAAGTGAAATAAAAAGAAGATATATTTCTACATATGCAGGACAAGTAGAAATTAATCAATGTAACTAAAAATAGAGAATTCTATAGTCTCTCTGTCAGTGAGCATTGATTTCACATCACAAATTCTAAACAACTCCTATTCATTGTGCAATGCACATTGTCAATAAGATATGTGGACAAATCAAAGCAAGGAAAAAGAAGGTATTACTCCTACTAGTGACTAACTGTGTGTGGCCCTGGAAAAGTTCAATATTACATAAAACCAGCTTATTCCCAGGTGTTGCAACCAAAGTTTATGGTCAGCCTGTCAGTAGGCATTATGCCAGAAGTGGGACTTTCCATCCAGTGATAGATACATCAAGTGAAAGCCTTTGCCAAAAATATTACTCCTTTGCCATAATAAACAAATAACTGTTTCTTAATGGCGGGCAAAAACTTACCAGACAATGGTAGTTCTTCAGCAGAAGAGGTAAATCACAGCAAGGACTAAAAGCCTGGATAAAGGGAATTTACATAGAGCTCAAAGGCATTGTGTGGGGAAGCTGGACCAGAAAAGTAGGTGTGTCAGCTTGACACAAGTAACAGAAGGAGCTTGCACACAGGCTGTGACATGGCATATATCTCTCCACTCACAGTCTAAAGTATTATTTGGGGAAAGTACATGCAGCTTTGGAGATCCAAAGATTAAAGTGTCCCAGCATCCCCATCTGCAAAATGAAGTGTGTAGCAATTTCCTTTTTCACAGTGGTGTTGGGAACCTTAAGGTGATAGGCACTATATAAAAAACTTCAGACACAATTTTCAAAATGTCCTGGGAAATCTTCAGATGACAGATGCCACTGAAAATGTTAAAGGCATTTTTCAAGTAAATTGTTTTTTATGAAGTTGATTATGTATAGTTATCTTTTCAATTAATATGTAGTATAGATATAGAGATACAGATATAATCACAGTGATAGATATATAGATATCTCTATATCTATAGAGATATCTATATATATAAATAATCACATGGTAGTCTCCTTTTACAACCCTCAGAGACGCAGCATTTGAAAATGTTAGTGAGCAAATGCACTCTAAAAGAAGAAAAAAAAACCACACATCAAGTAAGTAGAGAAGTAATATCTGAAACTTAAGGGGAAAAAATAATCTAGGGTCCTACATTTGCTGGCAAAGGTGAATTCTATTCTTTCCATATATTTGCTATATACTGATGATAGCGCTCAATCCTATAAATTCAACCTTGGAAGAACCATAAAATTAATACACTTTAATATAGTGGCAGTCTTCAAGAACAAGGGAGAATTAAGTCTCCTTTTAACTGTAATTGTTTCTCAGGTTTGGCATACTAAAAGCTTTTCTTCCACTCTCTCATTACATTTTAAGGACCAAAAACATAGCGCAATGAACTGATGAGTGGAGACTGGGTTTTTTTCCTATTTACTCTATTCCAAGTATCTGGCTTATTGCACTCAGCATGATTTTATAGCAATCTAATGAATGTTCTGTGTGATCAGAGAAGGATACACTCAAAAATAAAATTTAATTTTTCAAATATACATTGTTAAAATATAAAATCTGCATAACACAACATCCTTGATTTGTTTCAAATGACATTTTATAACAAATACTAGAAAGACTGGTTAGCAAGAATTTGGTGTCACCAGGTTCAGACCTTAAAAACCAAGTTCAAAATGATAACTTGGATTAAAAATAAAGTCCTTAACAATGAATTTAGAATAACAAAACAGCTTTCTAGAATGAAGGACACTTGAAGACTCCAACTAGAAAACATAAGCTCCTTGGCGGCACATGTTTTTTGGTCCTAGGGTCTAGAATACATTCCAATCTAGGTGCTAGAACTCCTGCTACAAAAAACAACAACAAAAACAGAAAAAAAAACTTGAAAGGAAAAATCCCTAACTTGCATCAAATTTATAAGAGACTGTAGGAATGTTTCCTGGAACTCAGAATAAATGTTCCCATTTCAATGTCTCCCCTTAGAAAAAATGGCTGTGATTCTAATAATGGCTATTTCACAGTGTACATTCAAGAGGTACATCATCAATATCTGCATGGGTGAACCCTTGCCCCAGCCACATTTCACTTGGTTTATTCAGTTACTGGAGAGGAAAAATAAGGATCTAAACACAGTAATAATGCTACAGAATAATGTTTTTAAAACTTGGAAAAGGTAAAGAACACTGAAAAATTCCATGCATTTCAAATTACATTTTTAATTTGATTTTCCTGCACCCTTCCCTCCTTTCAGTTTGGCTTGGGACCAGCAGTATTGTTCCTGGTTCCCTCTGGACATAAATAATTTTCACATCAGTATTTCATTGCTTGTTATTAGTGTACTTGTCCCAAACAGAGTATAAATAACCAAGGGGATAGTGACATCCATTTGCTTGGATCTTCAGAGAATTTTTTCTGAAAAGTTTTTTTTTTTTTTTAAAAAGGTACAAAAAGGTTAAATGGAGAGTAGGGAGAGGAACATAACACCAAGAGCAGAAGAGATTCACAGCTCTGAATTTGCCAAGTTTCTGGGGAAAAGGAATTCTCAGAGCATAAATCTGATAGCATTAGAGAATTTTCAATAAAGCCTTAGTGGTGGTTTTTGTAAAGCTCTTTCTGTGATTGGGGGAAGAAAATATTACATTAACAATGAACATGCACCAAATCATTTCTCTTCCAAACAGTTATGCGTCTGATTAAGCAAATACAAATATTAGACTACAATAATGGTACAATTTCTTCTGAATTGTGAAGTGTTTTCCTACCCTGAAAAGGGGAAACCTTGAATTGTTGTGCCATCTTGTTAAACTCTGTACTCGTGCTCTTTTTCTTAAGAAAAAAAAAGACAATGGAGATTTCACTCAAAGATCTCAACAATTGTGAAAGGTGTTTCACTCTGTTCAGACCTCACAGCATGGATGATGATTTGTGACTGAGTCACGCTGAACGTAACAGCTGATCTTTCACTTGAATCTTTGTCTATACCAGGCCTTTTTAGACATCTCCCATCTCCCACTGAATTACCACTTGTATAACTTGGAAAGTGGTAGAATTATTGTGTAGATAAAGCCTAGGCAACAGTGCTTTTATAATTATCAGGTCTTGCTATAAGTAATACATCAGTAAATTAGTACAAAAAGAGCAAGTGCCATTTTATAATCTGTATAATAGTGCAGGTCTCAATGGCTACCTCAAGGCAAAACAGGTTTATCTTAGCTAAGTGTTAAGGCATGCTCATATCCTTTATTAGCAAAAATAACTTGCTTGTCCATCTTGCAATAAAATTGCATAAAAAGGAGCTTTATTTTAAAAACATAATTTTGTAGCTTTTTAGTAATACTGCATGAGTCAGGTTTCCAAAGTGGCTCAGTAAAAGAGGCACGGTCACTACTAAGAAACACACTAAATCAGAACCTCAATTTCTGCTGTAAAGAAAAAACAGATATTTCAATTTAATGGCATTAAGAGTCTGTTACCTCATAAAAAAATTCTTCCTCTGCATTTGCAAACATTAATTCCTCTTTTCGCTGCGTGTTCCCTCTCCTCTTAGAATTGCTTTTGGTTGCCTCTGTAAAGGTCTTGCTGATCATAAGGTAGTAGTAACACTTTCCACAAGGCTTATTTGTTTTCTGTGTTTCAGCTAATTCTTTCCTAAAAAAATGCATATTTACATAGTTAATATTTTAAACTTCCATGAGATGCATGAAGAAATTGTGTAATGTAATTACTATTAGCTGCAGAATATTTACATTTTGCTCAATTTTCATGCGGGTCACACAAACAACAGTACCCTGCATTTATGCAGTAGTGTTGTTTAAAAGGTACTGTCACAGTTAACTACATTTAAAATAATCAACAGCAAAACTGATCTCCAGCTCCTCACAAGGCACTTCCATATCACAGAGCCCTCACTGAGCCAACACTGTATACTTGGGACTTAGCACACAATTAAACATACCCATTAACTACCATTCAGAGTAATGGTTTCCTCTGCATCCAGAGACTAGTTCAGTTCAATGATCTTCAGGTCATTAAGTTTTATTTATTTATTTTAAAAATATTGTTCCTTCCCAGAAACCCTGTCATGGCAAACTGCCTGACAAAGATGACTGGAGGCAGTTCCCTCTGGAGGTAGTTAACACTGTCTCTCTTCCTTCCATCAGAGACTGTTGCTAAAGAACCACATGGAATGTTCTCACCTCTTCCTTGTATTGAATATGTTGCCAGTGAAATTCTTGGTGGGAGAAAAGGAAAGTACAAAGTGGGCCAAACAGTTTTCCAGGGGAAAAATGATGCTCTCAAGACTTCTACTTCACACCTAAGATTTCAATATTAAAGTCCCGTACAAATTCAGATTATTTCCTTAACAGCTTTGCTTACTTTTCTCCCACGTCATTCAACAAGATTCTGTGCCCTTGCCATTGGACCCTGCTTGGAGACTAAACAATAAGGTAACCTTTTCCAGTCCACTTACTGCAAATGGTTCGGGCAGAGTTCATACCCTTACAAATTTATTGCTGAAGCCCAAAGTGCCATTCCAGGATAATCGGTGCATCTACATTACACAAAAAATACTGCAGAGAGCCATATCATTATGTTATAAATATTGTATCATTGTAATAAATATTCTCCCAGTCCAGTTTTCAAAACAAAGATCAACTGCAATGAACACACTGATGCTGCTCTACTAGTATACTGCATAACTTTAAGTGATGATTTATTTCTTCAAGAAAATAATTATTAGAAGTATTAATAAATGTGGAAATAAACATTTAAACCCCCCCCCAACAAAGACCTTCCCCCCCTTTTTAAATCTATTTCTTACTTAAATCTGCAGTATCATTCCCTTTCCTTCAACACATTTCCATTTAAATAAGATTTCTGAAGACATACAAGGAAAAAAAAATTACTATTCCAAATCATTTTAGAAAGACTCTTACTGAAGCTGCTGGTGCATGGGCAGAGCAATCTGTGGTGGTACATTAATGAATCTTTCACTTAGCAGGAAGCCCACAGGCTTAGTGGTGTCATTTAGGAGCTTATCCAGCTGTTCAACCATACTCTGTTCACAGTTCTTCTCACACCGACTTAGAATCAGCTCTTTAATTTGTTCAGCACACTGCATACCCTAGGAATCAAATAGTATATTTTCTTATGTAAATAATTGTTCTGTAACATAAAGAACACTTGAAAGTGAATATTAAGAGTATTCAACAGGCCTGTGGGCATCTTCCTTCAGTGGTCTCTGAAGTACTGCAGAATTTCTCTGAAAGTTATTTGCCAGCCCTGAAGCTGAGGGCAGACCGTGGTCATTAAAGGACAGTGCATCTGCAAGTTAGCACTCAGCCCAACAGCCGCAAAGAAGGGAATCTACTCCGAAAGCTAAGACATAGCACCTGAAAGCATGGGTGGCCCACTTGTCTGGGTGCTAGCTAAGGAGCAGAGAATGAAATTCAAGCCTTACCAACTTCCCGTGCAACCTCGAGTCCTGAGGCATTGCAATGCTCAGCACTGCAACACCTAACTTCAGATGCATGGCTCCAAAAAATGGAGCCTGAAACATTCTACTGAACATAGCTATAGTACTGTCTTCATAAAACAATGTCGGGGGCAACCTTATGTCTTTTATAACACAGCTGCTGAGGACGGTCAAGCAGTTAGCCCTCTAGGACAGAATATAGGAAAGCCAGGTATAATTCCCACTTCTGCCTGTAGGGATTCAAGCACAGACCTCTCTGGAGAGTGCTCTAGTCGCTCAGCAAGAGACTATTCTGGGGTGGAAGTACAGAACCGTAGAAAAATAGGGTTGAAAGGGACCATAAGAGGCCATCTAGCCCAACCACTATACATGTATCCTATAGAAATGGATGTCTAACCTGCTGATGCTCACCTTTTCAGCCCCACTAGCCAGATGGCCTACATGGGGCCTGTCTGAGGGCCAGACTGTGCCTTGGGGCCTGGTACCACTTCTCCTTGCCCTGCACACCAGAATTAGTCCTGGGGGTCTGGCACGGCCCCCTCCATCCCAGGACTGGATCCTACAGGCCTAGAGCTGCCTCCTCCAATCCTGTGCGCCAGAGTTGGGTCCTGAAGGCCAGTGCTGCCCCTCCCACCCTGTGCATGCTGGTATCAGGTCTCTGGGGAACCAGCACCACCCCCTTCTGCCTCCATCATTTCAGGATTGAGTCCTTGGGGGCTGGCACCATCCCTTCCTGCCTCCCTTGCACCAGGATTGATTCCAGGGGCCTGGTATTGTCCCCATCCCTGCTCAGCCCTACGTGCTGAGGTCAGGTGCCAGTTCCACCATGCAGGTCCCAGTGTTTCCCATGGGATATGGTAGCAAGGGTGCAGTACTACTGCACCCTGTCACCAAATTTCTAGGCCCATGGGGAGCCCTGCAGGCTGGATGACATGGGGCTGCAAGCCAGAGGTTGAGCACCCCGGTCGAATCTATTCTTAAAATTACATACACACAACCCTGCTGCACAGCTACCGGGAACATTGCCCAGAAACACCCAACCCTGTCAGAAGCAAAGAGAAGGAAGGCGCACGGGGAGGGGGCAGGACACAACACCTTTCCTGCTAAAGCTATGCAAAAAAGAATTCAATGTTCACAGAGCCACAAAGAGGGAGCATTATTCTGTAAACTAGGGCAAGGCCACTAGGGGCCTGGATTCTAGTCCCTGCTCCAAGGATTGCTTAGGTATTCTGCAAAAAGCAGTACTTGAATATGCAGAAACAGTCCTTGGTGCAGAGACTGGGATTCTGGACTCCCTCCCTTCTCAGGTGTGTGTTGGGAGGGGAGTGGGGGAGTGACAACAGCTAGTCAGCCTCGGCATTTTATACACATGCATTTGTCTGCTCCGATGCATCAGAGCAGACTCGATTAAGTGAGTCTGCTCCACACACAAGCTGACGTGCCCAGCGCTGTGTCGTATTCATTTGTATAAACAGCAAAATGCATGTCAGCGCTGATAAAATGGTGGCAGTGCGCTTTTAAAACATCTCTGATGTGTTTTAGTTCAAAAGCATGCTGCTGCCATTTTCTCAACACTGACGTGCATTTTGCTATTTATACAAATGCACGAGCTACCGTGCTTTTAAAAGCACCCGGCACTGCAGTGCTAGCCTGTGTACAAATGCCCGCTAATGTCTCTAATGGAATGGTACTTTCAGTAAAACAGGACAAACAAAGCAGTCTTATACATTACCAACCAGAAGTTTACCAATAATACTGACCTTCCTTTCAGTTAAGTTTAAGAGGCTTATAAAGCCGAATACCTCATCTTCATCACCATCATCATCATCACTGTCATCTTGAACTTCAGTTTGCTATTTAACAAAAGAAAAAGGAACAACTCATGCTGATCTGCACTTCTGAAATGCAGCCATTATTCCCCATTCAGAAGAGTCAAAGTACATTGTGATGATAAGGTTCATGGAGCCCCACCATATGACCCCTAATACGCCACCCTGGGTCTGATCAGACCCACATGGGGCATGGCGTATGCCAGACCAGCTCTGCAGGCAGGACCAAGGATGTGACCACATGTGGTATCCGCCCTGATTGGTCCAGAACTGCACTGCACGAGTGGGCATGTGCAGTGTGGATCCAGAGTGGCCAGAACAAGCACTGCATGTGGTCCAGCGCAGACAAGGGCACATAGCTCAGATCCCAGATCAGCCAGAGTGGGTGCTGCATTACATGCAGGGCCCGCCCTGGCAAGACTGTACCATATGCAGCACAAACTCTGGGAAACACACTACATATGGGGGCCATCCCAGCAGCCCTGGGACTACACTGCACATGGTGTCTGCTCCAGCCAGTCTGGGACCATCAATGCACACAGTGCCTGCAAGTACTGCATGCAGTGCAGGTACCGAACTGGTTGATGTGGGTGCCATGTAGGGCATGGTTCACAGAGTGGGAGCCAAGTGTGATGCAGTCTGGCCTGGAAGGCACTGTGTGCAGCTCAGCACCCACTCCAGACTGTCTGGGATCGATAACACATACAGCGTGGGCTCCAGATTGAATGGAGCAGGTGCTGGATCCAGTATGCTGGGAAAGGAGAGGGATCCATGGGTCAGATCCAGCCTGAGGACCAGCCCTGCACCACTCATCCAGTCACAGGGCTGAATGAGTTGAACACTCCTGATTCAGGGAATTTACATACATACGATTTATGAAGTCTGGCTTATGTTATAAAATCCCTGTATCACTAAATACTTCTGAGTAACGAGAATGTACTACTTATCATCAGAACTATGTCATGTGTCTTCTACAGCAAGGACATTTGAAGGTCATTACATTTTGATAGCTCCCATTTAAATAGGGATAACAACAGGTTGGCCACATGCTGGATTATACCAGCTTTCTCCAGCTTCCTTCCAGGGACCTCTAAACCAGAGAACAAAACACAGTGGACATTAATGCTAGGTCTTAAAAACAAAAGAGCCAAAGAGACTTGGTGGGAGTGGGAAAGGGGTAGAAATAATCCAGCAGGACTCAGAAACAAGAAATTTGGGTACAGGAGAGGAAGTATTTTTTTTGCTTGCTTGTAATTATTTTCTTCCAAATGGAGGATCAGCTAGAAATTATAGTTGTGCTTAGATTTGAGCCGATTTTAAATTTTGGGGAACCAAAATAATAATATGTAGTTTAAATTAAAATTCCCTCTTCTGCATGTATACCCAATACTATTTCCAAACTTGTCCATAACTAAAACAGAGCTGAAGTTAAGCCTCCAAAACCAACAACTCCCCCAAACCTCCAAGACTCCCCACTTGGTTGAAACCAGCCATGAACCATGTAAAGTTTCAGCCCCACATAAGAAAAAAATCACAAAGCTATAAGGAAAAGAAAAACTGGATTTTGTATAAGGAGATTATAAATAATGTTCAATACAGGATTTTTTACTGTAAGTGTTATACTACCATCACAGGTTTTCCTTCAGTTACACACACAGACATTGAGCACGGTTGGTCTGCAGACTGGAACAATGTTGATGTCAAGTAACACTAGATTGAACTTTTATCATATTATGACCTGCATTCACACCTCCACTTTGCCCTCTAAAGGTAGGGGTTAGAAGCGCCTGAATCGCCAACTGTTTCTTGTTGCAATAGATCTAGAACTCTTTGCAATATATTTATCACGGAGAACACATCAGTGGTTCCATTCCTTTGTATGCTGCAAGATTGGAAATCACCTTACCTTGATAACACTCCCAATGGGATTCTGTTGTATCAATATATCAGCCAGCTCAGCGGTGTTAACAGGAGCCTTTAGAAACAGCTAAAAAGAACAATTATATATTTATTATTATTATGGACTGTTTTTTAAACCTGGGATCCTCCTCTTACCTCCCACGCATTCCAGTCCGGCACCTATTGTGCACATGTGTGAAAATATTGTTAAGATAGCATTGAAGAGAAAGATGAAACACTCTCTATTGCAACCTAAGTTCTTACACCCTGTTCTTCACTAGCCTTGACTTATAGTTCCATTCAGTATATTTACTATTTTCCCTCTATCCCAGGTATAGGATTTAAGACTAATAATTCTAATCTTCCCTAATTCCCCTCAGCACCCACTACACTAATTTCTTCAAGTGACTTTGTTTGTGGTTCTTAATATTTCCTACTCCTTCAATTTTACCCTGGTCTGCCAATGTTTGAGAATGTTGGTGGTTCTTCTTTTGGTAAATTTAAAGAGAGGTTTGAAGCAGTCATATTGAATACAGACAAGTATTCCTTTTTCTTTTTTTTGAAATGCAGTTGGCCAACCTTCTCTCCACCCTCAAAATCCAATGATAACTTATTGGGATAGATATTAGGAAACAACATTGCTTAAAGATTAAAATATACTATATAATGTTAAAAGTGCAGTTCCCTAGTTTATCTGGAAATATTTCACAGACCACAATTTGGGAACCACTGCATTTAGGCAGGTGCCTATTATTTATATCTCAGTTTCCTGGGACAAAGTAACGGTCTGTATCAATACTAACAGTGGTTCCTGGCGACTCAGCAGAAGGCTTAAATTGGAATTTATTAATGGAAGATAATTACTTAGCGAATGCCAGTCCACGAAGTCAAGCCATAACAATGGAGATATCAACAGAGTTAACAAAAAAGTCACAAAATTTTGAACATACCTGTTGCAGTAATTTCTTTATACCATTACAGTCATTATCTGATATTGAATGTGCTTCAAATTCAATATTCACTTCCTATGAAAAGCAAAAGACAGTGAGCATCACACACATGCCTGACAAGAAGAAATATAAAAACAAAGTTAAACTGTGACATCAAGTAAAAAGGAATCAACTTCAGAAACTTCTTCTAGCACAAGGCTGTCCAACTGGCAGCCTGTAGGGTACATAGGACCCCTAAAGGGTTAATACACAGCCCATGAGTTCCCATGGGGCTGGGAGGAGGCTGGAGTGTTTGAGCTGCACAGCAAAATTGGGCTGCTCCCACTGCAGGCAAGCTTCTCAAAACAGCTGGAGCAGATGCGGCATGTGGTTCCTGTCCTGGCTCCTGCACACAGAGCTAATCTGGTTTGTGCCACGTGTGGTGTGAGAGTCAACTCTGGACCCAAGGGCAACACTGAAGGCTGGATAATGGGGCTCTGTGGGCCAGATCTAGCCAGTAGACCTGATATTTGACACCCCTGAACTAAAGCATTTCAGTTCTCGGGAGGCTAAGCCAGGGGTGCTCAACCTCTGGTCTGGGGACCAAATGCAGCCTGTAGAACCGTTGCATCTGGCCTGTGGGGCTCCCCACGGGGCAGGAAATTTGGTAGCAGGGGAGTGGTGGTGACTATTAATACAGCCATACTCCCCTGTCAAATTTCCAAACCCCAAGCCTCCTACAGCCGGTAGGGGCCAGCCCAGGCCAGGCTCCAAACCACTCCCCTGCGGGGCCAGGCTACACCTCCCCTGCTTCTAAATCAGGGCTAGACTATGCCCCCTTCTCTACCTGGTCATGCTCCTTTTTCCCTCTCATGGGGCTGAGCCACATCCCCTTTCCTCTCTGCAGGGCCAGGTTGGAGCCAGGACATCCTCCCCCACAATGGCTGGACTACAGCCCCTTCCCTCTGAGGGCCCAGTTTGGACCTGCCGCCTCCACCTCCCATGGGGCTGGGCCAAGTCCCCTTCCCTCTTCACAGGGCTGGGTTAAGCTCCTTTCCCTTGCAGGGCTGCATTGGGACCAGTCTGGCCCCTGGCCCCCTCCATGCTGCCAGATGGTGTCTACTGTGACCACACAGGAGCCAGATTGGGAACACCACCTGGATCCTCCCATATATGTCACAGTATTGGCCTACTGCATGTCCCTACTCCAGTCATGGCCAGTTTCTGCTGCTCCAGAGAAAGACAGAAAGACACAGATTACACCTAGCTGATTGTGCATTAATTCCTTCTTGATTTCTGCAAATGACCAGGTGATGCCGCAGGTATTTAGTTACAGTCACTAGCTCAATGATGAGGTGCATTGTGAGCCTGTGAGAGTAACATGACAATATTGTTCTTCCTATGGACCATGATGAATATGAGAACTTCAGATTGATAGATTTAACAGCCAGAAAGGATCATGACAGCTATTCATGAGTCCCCCCACCCCACCTGCCAGGCATACCAAGAGCTAAACAATTTCTCCCAGGAGCCATTTTAAAGCACACCTGGCTTAATTTCAACTTCTAGCCTTTGGATTTTGTTATTCTATTGACTACTATTCAACCTTGCTAACATTCTCAAATAGCTTTTCCATGTACACAAAGCTACACACAGAGAACAAGCCACTTCTCAAGCTTCTCTTCAATAAGCTAAGCATGTTGACCCGCTTAGACCTCAAATTTAAGGCTTGCTTTCCAAACCTTAAATCACTTCTGTAAACCTTCTCCAAATGCTCATTAGCATCCCCGCGTCCTTCTTGTACATGGTCTGTGGAGCCACATTCTGTGAAGCCAGTACTGAATAGGGTACTCTCATAGTTAGAGGTGCACTGATACATTAGTCCATATGGTATCGGCACCGATAAAAGGAAAATTGACATTATCAGCAATCGGCTTTTTTTGGCTCATGTGGCTGATAATGTCCCTGATAAATCCTACGTGCATGCGTGCAGCATGCATGTGACCAGCCTGGCAGCTTGGAGAGCAGTATCCAGCTGGTAAGTCTGTTGGCAGGGGGCAGGGGGAGGGACATGGGGAGGGGGATGGGAGTGGGGTACAGATCAAGGCCCTGTGATGAGGGAGGGAGTGAGGCTGGGGCAGGTGCTGCCCAGCCAGGACAGGGTGCAGGACAGAGCTGTGAGCAGCTTGACCAAGGGGTGGGTGGGGGCAGCTCCTGTCACTGTGCACACCCCTCGGGGAGGTACGGAGGGGGCGGGGGGATATGCCCCACAGGTCTGTGCATGAGACGAGGGCGAGCTGCCTGCTGGAGTGGCCCTGGGTTTTTCTCAGCGGGGTGGGGCTGGGTCAGGGCTGCACTCAGGACAGGTGGCAAGGCGCTGGGAGCTGGGCTACAAGAGGGTGGGAGTTTCAGCCACCCCAGAATTCATTGTAGCCCCCTCCCAGCACTGCTGCCTAGCCCAAGTGCAGCCTCAGCCTGGTCCCCCTGCTGGAAAGTGACTGGCACTGCCCCAGGTCCATTCCACAGCGGTAGCACGCCTTTGTTCCATGCACAGACCCAGGGACACATGTCCCTCCGTGCCTCCCCCGGGGGTGCACACACTGGCAGGAACTGCCTTCCCCACCCCTCAGATGAGCTGCTTGTGGCCCTATCCCGTGCCCTGCCCCAGTGGGGCAGTGCCTGCCTCTGCCGAGCCCCACTCCTGACCGCAGGGCCTCGATCTGCCCCCACCCTCCTCCCACTAACAGACTTACCAGCTGGATGCTACTCTCCAAGCTGCTGGGCAGCATATCAGCAATTGGATCAGTATCGGCTGATATGGCTCATTAATAATTGGCCATTGGTATTGGCCCAAAAAATCTTTATCAGTGCACCGCTACTAATAGTAGTCTTACAAACTCTACATCAGAAGGCAAGATCACTTTCCTACTTCTAATCTCTTTTTGATATGTTCAAGGATCACAGTAGCTCTTTATTCCAGCATTGCCCTGAGAGCTCATGTTGAGGTAAACTATTTTTGATAAACAATAAATACAAACATAGGAATGAAAGGGGCCACCTGGGCCATCAAATCTTATTTCCTGCATTCACTAATGCATGGAAATCTGAAAATGCTGCTTGAAGACCTCACATACATGATACTCAAAACATCAACATTTTTTGTCCGGGGTTGGATTAGAAATAGTCCCCATTGTTGATATCTTCCCATTAACAACTGTCAGTAAGATAGTACCCTATGCGTTGTTATTTCCATATATGAGCTTCTTTCCATAAAACCATGCTGACAGGCATTAACTTATAGCCTCTAATTCTCCATTGACAGAGTCTCTATTCTTTTATGTGGGCTCAACATCAGGTGATCTGTTCTATAGTTTTCTGCATCAGTTCTTTCACTTTTTAAAATATTGACGCTACCTTGGCAGACCTCCAGTCCCTCATGGTCTCTAGTTTCCCAATATTTGCTCAAAAATTAACAATGATTCAGAGAGCCCATTAGCTAGTTCCTTTAAAGCTACTGGTTATAAGTTATCTAGGTATGTCACCTGAAAATGTGACAGATGCCTCATATCCTCATTTATTACGGATGATAAACCTTTATTCCAATAACGACATATGGACAGCCAGAGCATCCTGCTTCATTCCAACACAGAACAGAAATATCTGCTGAACATGACTGCCTTTATATATGGCCTTTGGTATTTCATCAGCTTCTGACTTCCCTCATCAGCAGAAAGCAGGGTAGATTTGCACCTGATAGACTAACCAGCATATGTGCAGGTATATGTGTGTGCATATGTGCACACACACATATTTGTGTGTGTATGTATGTATGTAGCACAACCTTTCACAGGCTGAAGTTCACTTCATAAAATGCTGTGAAAGGAAGTAGAAAGGAAAGGCAGAGAGGGAGAGAAGGGAAACATGCAAGCCATACAGGTTTCCCTCACTTTATGCGGTAGATGTGTTCCTGAAAAACCGCACATAACTCAAATTTGCATAAAGGGAACCCACTTTACAAGGTGACACATAGGGATACGTTCTAAGACCACTGAGGTGAGGGAGGGAGTGGGGCTGGAGCTGGGCAAGGGACAGGGCTCCTGCTGCTATGCGCACCCCAGGATCTGCACACAGGATGAGGGCAGGCTGCCCCTGAGGGCTGAGACCAGGTGCTGTGCTGGGCTCTTCCTGAAGGTGTGGGTTGGGTTGTGCTGCTCTCAGGGTGGGCAGCAGTGGCGCTAGGAAGGGAGGTTGGGGGGTTACACCGAATTTTGGGGTGGCTGCAGACCTCTCCCCCCACATAGGCCCTCTCTCAGCACCACCACCACCCACCCTGAGCGCAGCACTGCCCAACCCCCACACCAGGAAGAGACCAGCATGGCCCTTGCCCCCAGCCTGCAGCGGCAGCCTGCCCTCATCCCCTGCACAGATCCGGGGACACAAGGCACCCATGCCCTTCCAGGGTGTGCGTAGCAGCAGGAGCCCCGCCCCTGCCCCAACCCCAGCCCCACTCTCTCCCTCATCGTCATGGTCTTGGATCGTATCCCTATTGTTACTTTGTAAAGTGGGTTCCCTTTACGCCAATTCAAGTTATGCAGTTTTTCAGGAATGTATCTACCACATAAAGTGAGGGAAACCTATATACAGAACCTGCATAAAGCAAGGGAAACCTGTAACTCCATACCCTTATCAGACACTTCCATCTCCATGATGGCTGCAAACAGAAAGGATATAAACCTTTTTCCAACTGTTTCCTTTCCACCTGGAAAGATAGTTAAGTACAAACTATGGAATCTTTATCTTTGCAGGTTTTTAAGAACAGGTTAGACCCATCTGTCAGGAATGGTATAACTAGAAGTGATCTGGACTGGATAACCTCTGAAAGTTCCTTCTAGGCCTATTTTCTATAGCTATATCTAATTGCCATTTGTCTCCTTCCCACCGCCCTTTATACTTATACAGGCAGTCCTCAGACTTACGACACAATTGGTTCCTGAAAACTGTCTTAAGTCGAAACATTGTAACTTGGAACCAATTTTCTCATAAGAAACAAGGTTATAAATGTTATAAATGGGGGATTGGTTTCCGAACTCTATTTTCACCAAAAATACCCCAGAATTTTAATAATCACATATTATTTCTAAAAATAATACTGGCTACATGAAATGCTCAACACACATTCCTCAACTTGAAGTCACATATGAAAACATGACTTTTCTTCTCATTCACTACGGAAAATTTTTTAAGAAGCAGTCTTGAAATTTGAGCACAAAGCATCATTCATTCTATGTCTTGAAGTAGACACATTACTGAATAGCCCAGGGGTCAGCAACCCCCAGCATGTGTGCCAAGTATGGCACCTGAGACCATTTTGCTCAGCCCACCACCCCCAGCCTGGGGTCTAGGCAGCTGCTGCCAGCCATGAAGCTCGGGCTGCTCCCAGCAGGTGGCTGGGAAGCTGCAAGCAGACTGGGCTCCGTAGTTGGCAGCAGCTACCCAGAGCCTGGGTCAGTTGCAACCAGGGGGCTGCAAACATCTGCTCTGGGCTCCAGCATCAGCTCCATACCGGCGGGTGTGCGTGCGCCTTGGAGCAGACAGTGTGGGAGGGGCCTGAGGCAGTGCAACTCTGGCCTCTTCCCCGCTGCCAGCACAGAGCTGACTGGGCTTCAGCTGTTTGTAGCCAGCCCAGCGCAACTATTTGTAGCCAGGCTGGGGCATCTGCAGCAGGCAGGCTGCAAACAGCTGCACCCGGCTCCACAGCCCTGGCATCAGCTCCATGCTGGCAGCAACTGCATATGCACCTCAGAGCGGGCAGCGGGAGGGCTATGCTGCCTCAGGCACTATCCCCACCGTCCGCTCCGAGGAGTGCGTGCCAGTATGGAGCTGATGCCAGAGCACAGAGCAGCTGTTTGCAGCCTCCCAGCTGTAACCAGCCCAGACTCTGGTAGCTGCTGCCAACCACGGAGCCTGAGCTGCTTGCAACAGGGCTTGCAGCTGAGCCTGCCTGACTCCCACCTGCTGCGAGCCCAGCCCCGACCCAGCCCCACACTGGGATGAGGCTGGCGCTGCCCCTTGCCAGGAGCACTGTACATTTTGCGGGCTTAACTGCGTGGGGTGGGCTGATGGGCAGGTTCCAGGCCAGGGCCTCGGCCAGCTGCACTGCAGCCTGGGGGCTGGCTCCCCAGGGAAGCATAGGGGCTCTGGTGGGACCAGGGCATTGTTGGGTCAGACTTTATCCAGTGGCCCAGGAACCTGGCTTCATGCGTCCGTGCATCTGGTTCTGTGTGTTTGCCTGCCTCTGTCTGGTTGTGTGTGCATGTGTCTGTTCTGAGTGTGTTCTGGTTCTCTGTATTTGTGCACATGGTCCTCTGTGTGCATGTGTCTGGTTCTCTCTGCTCTCCTTTTTCTTTCTCTTATTTGTCTCTTTTTTCTCTCTCATTGCAACATGCTCAACAAAAAAGGAATACACAACAGCAAAGGCAATATTTATGATTATTAACTATACTAATATGCAGTGTGTCCTGCCATGTACCCCAACCCCCCACCCTCATTTTGTTTTTCTGGCATGCCGGCACTCTGGCACCTTCCAAGGTAGACCTTGTGGTTTTTTCGGCACTCTGGCCAAAAAACATTGCCTACCCCTGGAATAGCCAAACAGGAAGCTGCTATCAAACTTCAATAAATGTAACCACTCCTGCTCCTTGGTAAATGCAAGACTGTCTCTTGTTCTCACAAAGATCATTCAAAACACATTGTAAGACATGTATGCTTCTTGTACAAGCCTCAACATAAGACTCCTCCATGTATCTTTTAATCCTCCATTTGCTGAAAGACACTGAAACACACAGCTATTTAGCACATAATTAAACAATTATTTTCACTTATTCGACATCCAAAAAAAAGGCTTCCTTTATCCAAAAAGCAGAAGGTAAATAGAGTTTTTCAAAGTGAGTGGAGGAACGGCAAATATTATCAACACCCAGACTGCAAAATTTCTATTTTTATGGCAGAAGGCAGTTAAGCCCTTCTAAGGATCAAAGATCTTCACAGCAACACAGACCAACAAGTTGGTGGGTAGGCACTGCTCTGAAGGCAACTGATAATGGCCTCTTAGCATGGAACACAACACCCGGAGCACAGTTCAGGTGTAGATGGGCCTCAAGTCTTTTTGAACTTTTCAATTTTTATCAATGTTTGCTTTCTGTTTTGGATTTTATTTTAATTCTATACGTTGAATGAAGACTACCGCTAATCTGTTTTTTTCCCCGCATTAATATAATCTATTAATGTTTATGGTGCATGTCTCTTCCAGCCCTAAACTTCTGTGAATCACTTCCTGGTAAAAAAAACCCACAAAAAACATTAAAACATAATTAGATTTGAATCACTGTACAGATACAGCCAGACTAATATGACTATGAATATGCTGACCCACTTATTAACAAATGAGAGGAAGGCTCTCCCATTGCATAAATCCATCTCAATGGGAACAGGACTATAAAAATTCATGCACACACCTAGCAAGACAGGGCTTCAGGTAATGTCACTAGGAAAGAACTAGTATTCTTAATTCAAGTTAGCTAACACAAGTTATCTAAGGCTTTGTCTTCACTAAAAGCACAAGTATTTTTTCCTAATAAAAGTTAACTGACTGAAAGTAAAATCCTAGTGAAAACCAGCCAGTTTATAGTTTTCACCCTGGTCAGCAGTTTAGGTTAAGAGGAATGGGGAAAGCTAGTCTTTATCAGTTAAGCTCATGTGAAAACTGCCTGGTCTTCATTTGGATTTTAACTTAAGTTTAATTTAAAGTCTTACCATTTTTTCTAGAGAAAATGAGGCCTCAGTGTTTTTTTCTCTGCAGAGTTCTAAAGCTAAGCACATATCCAGGTTTGTGTAATTATGGGTGTGGACAGAAGTAATCTTTGAATCATTTCCAAGTGTAACGGTCTTTGTTTCAAAACAGTACTGCTTCAGTGCAGGACACAGAAGCCCCTGCAGTGCTCCACAGCTGGCTGTGCTTCAAAACTATCCCCTTCCAAGCAGGGGGTGCTACAGAGGACTGTGGGGATCTGCTGTCTTCCAGAGCCCCTCTCTTACCAGAATCCAGATAAAAGGGCTGGCACCCCATGCCACCCTCTTTCCTGCAAAACCAGAAAGGTACCTGGGGATTGTGGCCTGGAGGACTGGAGGAATCTCTGCTCTGGGTGTCTGGGGGCTGCTGCTGCTGGCACTGGGGATGGAGAGAGCAGGGCAGGGCAGCACTGGCCAAGGGAATGCAGGGGGTAGGATACCTGCTTCTGGCTCCAGCAGGGAAGGAGAGAGGGCTGGGAGTGTGCACAGTCTGCTCTGCTCTACACCCCTCTCCCCCATCCTGTGTTGGGGGGGCAGGGAAGGGGAAAGGGGAAGATGAGTGGAGTGCCACTGAATGCTGGAGGACCCAAGCATCCCCTGTTGTATACTAGTATATACAGTGAAGTGCTTCACAACAGTACCCAATTCAAACTGGTACTATTGTGCAGTGCTTCAGCTACTTTTGAAACAATTTCAAAGGGCGGGCACATTTGCATAGAAATCAGAAGAGGCATTCTTTGCGAGTTCCTTCCATCCCTTTCTGTATTTTTTAAGAAAGAAAAATTAAAACAAAACCTCACATGATCCAAGCAAAACCTCCTTGAAGTAGTTGGCCCACATCCTCCAGTTAAATCCATGTAGGCAGACCATAGATACAGGTTTGCCCACATAGACCTGACTGGCCTGTTTGCTGTGCTATGGTTCAGTGGGACTAGACTCACCAGGAAAACTTTAAATCTCCCTTAATTTGGGAGGTTACTGGGGACATGACAACTGATTTCTTGGGACAACAAATGTGAAAACAGGGATGGGAGCGCAGGTCATAGGTTAGTAACGAGTACTCCATGGGGGGACACTGTGTAAAGCACGCCAGCCAGTGCCCACTGGTCCTCGAACAAGTCCAAGGAGCCAGTAGACATCACCCAACGAAACCGTCTGAGGGACAGAAAGATGGGCCCACAGTCACCAGGAGTCTCCCCAGCCAGAGCCTCCTTCCTGGTCAGGTAGACGGCTAACTTGGCTAGGGCCAGGAGGAGGTTGATCAGAAAGTCCCGGGATGTGGTGGGGCCACGGACGGGAAATGAGTAAGTGAAAAGGTATGGGGAGTAGGGCACGCAGAACCCCAGCAAGAGGTTCTTGAGGGGCTTCATCTGCAGAGAGGGGTGGCTGGGGGACCTGCACTACTAGAGCAGACTGGGAGCTTGCCCCACATTTCTCAACTTTAGAAAAAAACGAGGGGCTTTCCCAAAATTAGCAGCACCAGGCCCTTTGCATGCCTGGAAAGCAACAGAAACCTCCCCCCTACAACCCTCCGCAGTCCTTTGAAAGAAAACAGTCATTACATTAACTCTCCTATTCTGAACGGACATTTCTCAGGGAACTGACACCTCTACAGTGACTTCTAGCGTCTGGTAAAACACCTGGAAAGGGAAAGCATCACCGTCCCATCGCTGCTCGCTACCATCTCCTCTTCCTCGCTTTACTGATCCCATTTTGCATCCCACCCCACACTGCCCCCGCAGCACCCAGGGGGAGGACTGCCATGCCTGGGAGAGGAAGACAGCAGGAGCCAAAGATCCTCTTTAAAAGCAGAAACAAAGCCAAGGGGCAGCTCAAGCGGTGGAAAGCGCAGGGGGGAGCGATGTTCCCAGGCTCCCTGGCCCCAGCTCCTGCCTCTTGAAGCACTTTGTGAAAGAAAGAAGTGTCGCGCTCCCATGCCGCCCCCGCCCTCTTCTTTTTCTTTTAAGAGGAAACTGAGGTACAGCCGGGGAGCTCGTCGCATCCCCACCTGTGCTGGGCGGAGATGACAGAGGGACCAGGTAAGGAGTGGGCTGACGGGGAAGGAAAGGAAAGGAAAGGGAAAAGAGAAGGCGGAAGGCGGTCCGGGGAAGGGCACGAGGAGGCCCGCGGCTCTCGCCAGTCACCTCAGGGAGCTTCTCCTCCTCGGAGTCCGAGTCGGAGCCGGAGCCGG